ATATGCCCTCTCTTCTTATCAGCTGGATGCTTCACTCTCCACACTAGTCCTCTGTGGCTATGTCACTGACTCTGGGCCCAAGAGTCCCCAAGTCTTGCCACACAGCTGGCCAATCAGGTCTTCACCTGGGTTCACAGAAGTCTATTGAACATTGTAGGGCTTAGCTTGCCGCTTCATTGCTGTTTTTCCTTCATTTCCCCTTATCGGTGACGAGCGTGGTCACCAATCAGAGCGTGTATTCCCATTGAGTCTTAGTCTTGGAAGGGGGTTTGCACTGAGGGGACCATACCACTTGCCTTGATGTTTCCTGAGCAAGCAGCTTGCTTGTTCTTGTAGGTCTGCCTATGTTGTTTTATATTTTTCCTGTAGGTTTTTCTTTCAAGAAATATCTTCTGTTCTTCTAGCTGCTCCAGGCTAGTCTGCTTTTCCTTTCAAGTGGAAATGTCCCATCTCTGGAGATCTGGATGTGGTTCAGGCTTCCACATATAGTCTTATGAAATGCAGAGGCTCCGCAGGAAGCCTCCTTCACTGGGCACATTGTACCACCATTTTAGGTATTCCAATCAGTTATAGGCAGAAGACGGACTTACAAACTTTTTATGGTGATGTTTCTGGCTATTCCTTTCAAGAGAGGGAACTTTTTGAAGTGATGGAAATTTTCTACATATACACATGTTATCAGAAATAGACACTTAAGGTCTATGCATTTAACTTAATTGTAATTCCCATAAATTATAACTGTTAAATTTGTAAAAATAAACAATTGGCTAGATAAAAACTAACCAAAAGGAGGGCGGGAGTGCCTTTCTATGTTTGTGCCCATCCTCTGTTTAAAGTCAGATAAATTCAGATGTATGTGCCCAGATCCCCTTCTGGTCACAGTAAATTCTTCAGATAGCAGGTGCCTTTTAAGTACCTACATTTTCTTTACTTTTTTTTGTTTGTTTAAATGGTAAACTAGAGTGTTTCATACTGCATTCTATTTTGTGGTTTCTTAAACGCTGCAGTGAATGTAATCCAACATTTTATAGTGTGTTTAAGGCCACAGTAGGCTGCTGAGGTACAAAAGTTTACCCTGTTACTAATAAACCTCAAATTGTGACTGTTCTGTTCCCTCTCCTACAGCTAGATCCAAACTGTCTGTGTGCTTTATCTATTGCTATGTGACATGCTAACCCCAAACGTAGACGTGCTAGACAGTCCCCACTGTGTCTGCGGCTTAGGATCTAGGAGCAGTTCGGCTGGGTGGTTCTAGCTCAGGTCTCACAGGCTGCAGTTATCTCTGTGTGCCCGAGTCAACACTGCAGCTGCTTCTGGGAGCTTTCTGGGTGGGCTCTATAGATGGTGGTGTTCTTAAGCCAGTGACTCAAATGCTCTTTCCCTCTGGTTTTCTGTTTGCAGTGGCCAGGGCACTGATGAAGGGGAGGTGCTGCTTTATTACTGCTACTGTGACCTGGAGGATCCATACTGGCTCTGTGCCTGGCAGACAGCTCTGTGTCAGCATCTGCACCTCACAGGCAAGGTAACACCCCCCTCCCCCACCTCAGCCTTTACTGGGCTTACCTGGCCTCCCAAACTTGGATTTTGTAATGAAACTTTGCTCATTACAATGATTTTCTGCTAGGATCTTAGAAATTAGGGAAATCCTGCAGGCCATTGAAAAAGAAGGCTGGAGGGGGAGGCTCTAAAAATTTAGTGTAAACATGAAATTTAAAGATAATGAAAAATTCCCGTGAACTTTTTGAACACCCCTTGTTTAGTAGACTTTATAGGCCATGTGGTTACTGAGACAACTACTAACTACTCACCACTGCCGTTTTATCATGAAATAATGTTACTTTAGGCTATGTAAGTAAAAGAATGGACTCCTAGTGCAGCACTGGGAGAAGAAATGGACAGCGAACCATAAGCTTGGCAGTTCAAACCAGCTGTTCCTTGGAAACCCTATACAGGGTTGCTATGTGTTAGAATCGACTTGATGGCAATTAACAACAACAATAAAGAAAGAATAAGTATTGCTGTGTTACAATAAAACTATATACAAAACCAGGCATAGTTTGCCAACATATGACACAAAGAAATGGTCGTGCTGTATTAACTAGAAAGAGCATTGTATAAAACTACATATAAGTATGATTCCAAGTTGCTACGTACGGTCCCTAGAACTTGCAGGTCCTTTCACCATCTCAGGTTTGGCCTTTCTTTCCATTCCACTCCTCCCTGAGCTCTTCATATAAAAACCACAACAACCAACTTGCTTTTGTCTCAATCCTGACTCATAGCAGCTGTGTAGGATTTCGAAGACTGTAAATCTTTGTGGGAGCAGACAGCCTCATCTTTCTCTCACAGAGTGGCTAGTGGATTTGAACTACTGACCTTTCATTTAGCAGCCCAAAACATAACACACAGTACCACCAGAGAGCTCCTTCATGTCTGCTCAAATGTTATGTCCTTAGAAGTGAATCTGACACTGTCCTCTCTCTAACGTTTTATTGTGTTTACAGCAGCATGCTTAGGGTCCCTTTCAACAGCTTCTACACAAGTTATTCTGTGACAGCAGTTACATTCTTCACACTGTGTGAACATGCACATTAGTTTCCATTCTGGTTGTTCTGTTTCCATCGATCTAGTTTCTCTGGCCCCTTTTGTTCTCATCTTTGCTTTAAAGTAATTGTTGACCGTTTGAGCTCATATAAGTGATTATTTTTAAAAAGGAACGTAGTACTTATGAGTGAGATTCGTTCTATTTGGAACCAACTTGTTATTTAGCTACGAGGTGACTCAGGAGTTATTTTCAAGTTACAAGTTTGAAGCGTATCCCAAGGCAGTATTCTCAGGGAGTTTTTCACCCTCAACCTTTGGTACTTCTGGGGTTCTTTGTTTAGTGTTGATTTAGGAGTTTGAGGTCCTGTTCCTCATTTTTCCCTGGTTTATCAGGGTCCATCCTGATGGAATGGTCAGCAGTGGTAGGCAGACAACATCTAGTTCTGGTCTCAGGTAGATGAGACACAGTTCAAGTAGGCTGTTTGTCCTGTAGATGAGTTTCTTCTTAGAGTCCTTAGTTTCCTTTTCCTTTTGTTCCAGATGAGTAGAGAGTAGTTGTGTCTTAAATGACAGCTCACAAGCTTTTAAGACCCCAGACACTACTCACCGAAATAGGATGTAGAACATAACTCTATATTATGCCAATGGACCAACCCTGCTTTTTTTTTTTGACCCTTATAAAAAGGGTCACTACCTCTTAATTTCAGTTAGTGAAAGGTACTTTCACTACCTGAAAGTAACGCTTATTTATTTATAATCTATCTCCCTAATGGCTTCATTGAGAACAGAAACTTGGCCTTACTTGATGTATTGTCAATACTAGAACAAGGCTTAGAAAGCACACTCAGTAAGTACATGTGGCATGTTTAATAAAAGAAGGAATACATGTTGGTAACAAAACTGTATGTGTACTGTGTATATATAAGTATATGTATAAAGATACCAAAATGTTAACAATGATTATTTTTGCCTTATAGGATTATGTTGTGGTTGTTAAGTGCCATCGAGTTGGTTCGACCCATAGCGACCCTGTATAGTGTTTCCAAGGGGCAGCTAGTGAGCTTGAACTGCCGACCTTACAATTCAAACGGCTTTGCAACCTGGCACGCTAATTTTCTTTAAAGATCTTCCTGCTGGATTTGGCCACTTCTACCTTTTCAGCCAATCTGCCACTCTTCGCTTATTCCGCTCCTGCAACATGGTCTTTCATTTTCTGAAACCCACCAAACTCTTTTCTGCCTTTGGGTCTTTTTACCCGAGAACCCTCTTCCAGGAACTCCCACGCCCACTCTATTTCTCCTGATTTTTACTCAATTCATGTCTCAATTTTAATTAATGTGACCTCCTCAAAGAAGCTTTCTTGACTCTTCAGTCTAAATTCATTTTTTCCCATTACACTCTTGCAGTATTGTCTTATAGTTATTTGTTTTACTTTTTATCACTTGTCAGTTTGTAAATTCTGTCTTAATATCTGTAACTTCCATCAGTCTGAAAACGTCAAGAGGTTGAGAACCCTTACCATAATTGCTGGTACATAATAAAAGTAAACATTTGTGGAATGGGTATTATCATCTCTTTTCAGAGAAATTCTACGCCATAAAGATGGATGGATATTCGGAAAGTAAATCAGAATGTGTAAAATGTGGAAATTAGTCCATTTCTGAATTTTAGTGGCAGATTTTTATCCTTGGCCCGGCCTTATAGGTAAGCCAGCACAGGAGGCCTCCAGTCACTAGGTGGCAGCACTGCCTGGACCTTGGGTCCAAAGTTCTAGACTTCAACAATACTTGACCAGTTTATTGTTTTCTAGTGGTAGAAGATTTGATAGAATATTGACTTTTAGGTAAGGGGAGAGGAGAAGTTGAAATTTCTGGAATTATGAAAAAAAAGTCTGTCCCCTATTGCTATACAGTCCTTACTGCCTCAAAGAATTTCAGTAGATCATTGGAGGCTTTTGCATAAAGAAAAACTGATAAGATTTGAGACTAGAAGGATATGGCTTAAAATACCAATCTACCACCTACCAACCTTTGAGAAAGTTATTTTACTTCCCTGATCTTCCATTTCCTTTTTTTTTTTTTTTTTAATGTTTTATTGTGAGTTATGTGATAGTTTACATGGGAGAACATCAGTTTTACATTCATTCTTTCGTATATCGTTTCTTTGCCATGGTTACAATCCCCTCCATGCATCTTCAACCAACCAAAGGGTATACCCTGCAAGCCTGCCTCCCACACCCCTCCCCCCCAGTCTTCAGCACACAGTCCCTCTCCCTCTTTGGATCTAAAGTCTCCAGCTGCTCCATCTCTCCATGTCATCATCACTGCCTCCATTTCAGGCATCACTGCTTCTCTGGGTAGGGTCCTGTACTCCGCTCTTCTCCTTCCATTTCCTTTTATTTGAAATGGGGGTTATGGTATAGCTGTCTTTCAAGATTATAAAGTAATATTCCTTTCTCACAGTATGTGCTCAATAAATGGTAATGATTAATATTTTCCACTTCTAAGGAGCTCTGATATCCTAGTGGTTATGAGTTGGGCTGCTAACCTTAAGGTCAGCATCTCAAAACTACCAGCTGTTCCTTGGGAGACTGATGAGGCTTTCTGTTCCCCTAAAAGTGTATAGCCTGAGAAACCCTATCCAGGGTTGCTATGAGTTAGAACCCGTTCCACAGCACATAACCAACCAAGGTTTAATGTTGATCTCATCAACATCCTAGTTTGAAGTATTTCTGCTTGTTAAAAGTCTAGTGCATGTGCTTAGAATTGTTGTGCCCTCAGTATGTAGCAAGTAGCTGTGTTTGTCTTTTACTTGGTTTCTGAGATTTGTGAATAACATAGGAAAGGATCTATACTACCCACAGAAGTATGTATCTCTTCATAATAGCATGCCACCATCAGAAACAATTTTGGAGTGGATTTCCTGACCCTTATATGGGTTCAGCTCCATTTTTCTATAGTGAAAACAACAGCCTGTTGCCTTTGAGTGAATTTCAACTCAACAGCCAGCCCATGTTACAGAGTAGACCATAGCATCTTCTTGGCTATATTCTTTACAGAATGAGATCAGGACTTGCTTCTGCAGGGCCTTAAATTGCTTTCCTTTTCAGAGAATTGCTACGGAACCACACAGTGCTACACACCCTATCTAGAACTTTTCTCGATCATTTATAGACTCAGCCAAATAATTTTATCATACTAAAACAACCATCTTTGGGGGCTGCCAGAGCCTGGTCCCTTAAGGCAAGCTTGTGGCCCAGGCTCTAATGCCCTTTTAGTAAAGCATTTCCAAGAGAATATAGGGTTTAAGAAATCAAAGATCTCCAAATGGAGACACATTCATTCATCCAACAAATAGATATATTGAGCAGACACTGTTCTCGAACTGGTTATGCAGCAATAAAGCAGACACACACTCTCCTTGAACTCCCATTCAAGTGGGAGGGTTTTCAGTGGTGTTCTTTCCCCCAAACACCAGAGATTATCCACACACCTCCCTAGCCCTCAGATTTGCTTTGTATTTTAGGACTTAGGTAATATATCTTTAGCACTTTCTCATTGTGTTGTCCTTGATTTTCCTTTTTTTCAATGATAAAGAAATTAAGGCTCTGGACCACTTGGCAAGTAAGTGACAGATAAATTTTGATGCTAGATCTCCTGGCCTCTTTGGAGAACTCTGTGATGCTACCTGGATGTAGGTAGAGTTCAAATTCACTTCTTTGGCCATTCAATAATCTGGAGCTCGATAGCAAATGGGACTTACTAGAAGCTTCATTCATTCATATGCTTGTTCAACACACATTACCTGAATACCTCATCTGTACCGGCTCTCTGAATAGTGCCATTGTGAAAAAATACAGATCTCTTTATTTGGCCACATTTTTGGTGTCCACAGCGATGTGTTTGCTTTTTGTGTTACACTCATTATAACACATGAGCATGTTGTTCTGTGCTAGAAAGCTAATGAAACTAAGAACAGGCTCTCTTCCGTTTCTCTCACTCTTGTATCTCAGGTTCGAATTGCTACAGAAGGAATCAATGGAACAGTTGGTGGAAGCAAATTGGCCACCAGACTCTATGTGGAAGCCATGCTTTCCTGCCCATTGTTTAAGGATTATCTGTGTAAGGAAGATTTTAAGGTAAGAGAAATTGATAATAAAATGGACCCAGAATTGTCTGCTTCTGCCTCTTTTCCCTCAAGGTTATTGAGGAGGAAGTCAGTGTAGGCGAAGTAAGTAGTACCAGGAGGCTACTCTCTTCCTCGTAAGAAGAAGAGCGTGGGCCAGGTACCTGTAGCATTCATCCCAGGGCTTTCACTAAGCCACCATGTGACCTTGGGCAAGCTAGTCTCCCATTTTATAAATTAAGGACCTTAGAACTTACACAACCTACAGCTCTAAAACCGGGGCCTGCTTACTCACTTAAGAGACCACCTCGCTGTTTATTTGAGTGACTTTCTGCTTTTATCACAATAGAAAATATACGAGGGAGCTTCAAAAAGTTCATGGAAAAAATCTATTTTGTAATTCCATTTTCCACAGACTTCTTGAAGCTGTCTCATATAGAGCATAATAGATAAAATATCAAATGTTGTTAAGTGCCGTCAAGTCGATTCCAACCCATAGTGATCCTGTATAGATAGTGTTTCCAATGAGCAGCTGGTGAGCTTGAACCGCCGACCTTGCAGTTCAAATGACTTTGCGGTCTGATGCATTAACCCATAGTGCCACACCAGGACTCCAAAATATCAAAAGCTGGGTTGTAATCACATGTTGGAACTGCTCAGTGGTGTTCAGTTTTATAGTTAAATGCTTACAGCTATACAAAGACCTTTTTTATTTAATAGTTCTGCAGATGATAAGTATGCAGTAAATATTAATATTGAATGAGCTGAACATTCTAGGCTTTTGTTTCTTTCCCCTTGAACTGTTGCTTATAATTTAATGTTTCTTAAGACTGCAACTATCATTACAGAGCTAGCCACAATTTTTCCATTTGGCATGTATCTTACACCTGTGGATGACAGATGACCACTATATTCTGTTTTTGTTTCTCCATGGCTAGACCAGCAAAGGAGGAGCCCAGTGCTTTCCAGAATTGCGTGTTGGTGTTTTTGAAGAAATTGTGCCCATGGGGATTAGCCCCAATAAAGTCTCCTACAAGAAGCCTGGTATGTCTGCTTGTAGAAGAATTGTGCTTTTCTCCATAGGGACAAAATGTAATAGACAAATGAAAAAGTTAGGTACTGATCAGCAAGAGTTACAATGAATCCTCTCCTGGAAATAGCTATAGGGTGGCCAGTGCTTGGGCCCATTCAGTTCTTCAACTGATTCTTCTCTTTGATACTATGGTAGACTCTCCATAAAATGGCCTATCTTATTCTTCTGGATGATTTCAAGAAGTTTTCTCTTTATAATTGTAAAACATGAACACCAAGCATTCCTACCACGGTACTCTCTCTCTACTCATTGCTCTGGCCACAGAGAACTCAGACACTATACTCATAATTGTAGGGTTAACAGGTTACAATTCAGGATCAGAAATGTTCAGGGCACAATTTTTCCAGTAAGGACAACCTCTCCATAGCTGTGCCCACGGACAGGCCTCTCTCTGCCTGACCAGTGTCACAGAGCTCTTTGAGGGCTACTGACAAATGCCCACAGGATGCACCACTCCACCAGAAACCTCAGCTTGAAGCTACTCAGCTCTAACTTTGTGGGTCAGCAAACCTAGCTCCCCCAAATAAGTCCCTGGAGACACCTCACTCTGCAAGCAAGCCTCCTGCCCAAAGTCACTCAGCTTTACTTGCTCCGTGGGCTGTGGATTCCATGGCTGTGTCCCATGCTCTGGCTCGTGGTTCCCCTGCTGCTGCTCCTCTGCCACTCTTCCAGTGTCACAGCGTGCTGTCCCTGGGTTGAGGAGTTTCATTCTACAGTGATCTCAGGCCCAAAGGATGCACTCCTCTCCTGGCTCCTCTTCTTTGATAGTAGTGAAATTCTCCATTCCCGCTGCTGACAAGTTTCATTTTATACTCATTAGAGTTCCAGGTTTTTATAATCACAGTTAACCCTGTTAACCACTCACAACTGAATCATATAATCCTCTCAGCATTTTCTCCTACTTTCTCATACCCAGACCCAGCAGGGCAAAATAGTGTTAGGTAAGAGTTTACAAAGACTTTAACTAGAAGAGATATTAAATAATCCACTGCACTGCAATAATTATTACTTATAAATAGTTATCAGCAGAATAGAATACACAGGCTTTTGCTATAGGAAGCAATTGGCTCTTAACACCTAAGCATTTAGATTCCAACTGTTCTAGAATGTTTCCCCACCCTCGCCATGTGGCTGCTATAGAGGGTTGAAAGATATTTGTTTTGTGGAGTTTGGGGTTTGTTGTTGTTTTTTTAACTTGCTATTATGAATTGAGTGAAAGTTTACGAAGCAGGTCATCAATGTTACAGTGAAAAACTCATACACTTTATTTATTGTCAATGACTGCAGTTCCCCCCAAGTAACATCACTGATTGCACTTCCTCCCTGTGATTCTTGTTTCCATTCCACCGTTGTAAACTTTGTCTTTAGGTAAATGCTGTCCATTTGATCTTGAATGGTTGGCATATCTTACTAGTGTTGTTGTCACCCTAAATATCTATCCATCGGTTGACTGGAAATTGAGCCACAAGGATGTGTTGTTTTAAATCTGAAGGGTGATCAAGGGCTATAGTTTCAGGGCTCGTGCACTATGTTTTGACCAATTGTTGTTGTTGTTGTTAAGTGCCGTCGAGTCGATTCCGACCCATAGTGACCCTATATAGGGTTTACAAGGAGCAGCTGGTGAGCTTGAACGACCGACCTTGCAGTTCAAACGATTTTGCAATCTGACGCATTAGCCCGCAGCACCACACCAGGACTCCTTTGATCAATTATCCTGGTCTTTTTTTGTAATTTTGAGTTTTAGTCCACATTTCCCCTCCACACCCCCCATTCTCTCCAGGACATTCTGATGTGTTCCCTTTGAGAGCATTTGGTAGTGGTAGCTGGGCACCATCTAGTTCTGGTTTCGGGTTGTGGAGACTGATGGTTGTGTGTTCCATTGGTCTATTGGATTGTTTCCAAGCATCAATTTTCATCATTCTTCTATCCTCCACACTGGGATAGCAATAGCTTTTAAGATCCCAGTCACTAACTCATCAAAGTAGGATGTATATAACATCATCTTTGTGGACTATGTTATGCCATTTGACCCTGGTGTCCCCCTGAGGCTGTAGTCCTGAGCCCCCAGGCCCAGCTGGTCATTCCTGAAAGTTGTTTGGTAATGTTTAAGAAGTTTTCATAGTTTTACCCCTCTGTCTTCTCCACCACATTCATGGATCTGTGTGCAGCAGAGGTGAACACCCAGGAACAAATGTCTTCTGATAACTTTTGAAGTTTAAAAAAAAAATTTTTTTAATACATTTTACTGTGTAAGTTTTTAAACAAAAAGAAAGAAGATAGTACAGTGAACATCCATGTACCTGCCCCTCAGCGTCAGCAATTACCAATTTATGGCCAATTTCTTTCATCTATATCATTATTTTGAAGAAACCCCCAACATCCTATCATTTAATGTATGATTATCTTAGTTGATAGGAGTCCTGGCGTGGCACTACAGAATAATGCACTGGAACGCAGGGTTGGTTGTAACCACAAGATTGGTGGTTCACATTCACCAGCCACTCCTTGGAAATCCCATACAGTCACTTGACTCGATAGAACTTAACAACAACAATAGTGATCTTAGTAGATATCACTGTAAGATCTGTAAGATAATGATTCTTGTAAAAACAAAACAGTAAAACTTACCACATCTAAAACATTTTAATAATTCTTTAATATTGTCAAATATTCATTCTGTTCAAAATTCCCAGCTCTCAGTGTTTTAAAATTTTGTTTCTACTATTATTCAAATATGGTCCATGTATTGTAGTTCACTGATATGTCTCTTCAAGTCTCTGGATTTATTGGAATCCCACCATCTTTTTGTTACTCTTTGCGATTTATTTTTTGAGAGATCTGGGTCATTAGTCTATAGTGTTGCCCACAGTCGGCTTATGCTGATTGTCTCTCCCTGGTACTGTTCAACTTCTTCCTCTGGCCTCTGTATTTCCTATAAATCAATAGTTAGATTGAGAGCAGCACTGCCCAGTAGAAATATATGAACTGTGTATAATGACCGTATTTTACAAAGTAAAATGAAACAAGTGAAATTAATTTTAATATTATGCTTTACATAATATATCCAACTTATTTTCATCATGACATATAAATATGAAATAAATTCAAAATATGAAAATTAATAATAGTTTACCCCCCCCCCCCCAATATGTCTTTGAAATCCAGCACAACTCAATTTGGTCTAGCCACATTTCAGATGCATGGTAGCCAGGGTGGCTATCAAATTAGTCCAAATCTAGAGACTTGGCTTATCAAGTTTGATTTTGTTCTTGTTTTTCTCTTTCTTTTTTTTTTTTTAACAAGACTGCTTCTGAGGAGTCTTGACGTGGTGCTATAAGATAAGTACTGCACTGCTAGCCTAAAGGTCTGCAGTGCAAACCCACTCGTTGCTCCTTGGAAATCCTATACAGGGTCGCTGTAAGTTGGAACCATTCAACAGCACTTCATAACAACTTCCTAGGTAGCATAGTGTCATCTTTTACCAGGAGTACATAGGTCTAGTTGACTAACCAGTGTTTCATATGTAGAGATTTTTTAAAGGCTAAGAATTAAGGCAGAGGAAAATGGGAGCAGCATCTGGGAAGAGACTGATAAATGAGGAGAGAAGGGCCAGAAGAGTCAAGTCAGCTTTGTGTCACCATGGTAACAAGAGGACGCCATGACTACACTGCCCCTCCTTTGCCTTCAGGGTATTGCTCCAAACACTAAGGAAGAGGAGGCCTCTGGCAGTGCTGTACTGCTTCCATTGGATCTAGGTTGTATAAAGAACCTCATGTCTATGCATGGCTGTCCAATTAGGTCCTCTCAAGGCCAGGTCTCAGAGTGGTAGAGCTAATAGCAGCAGTGAGGAACAGGTTCTCTGAAAGCAGAGTTTTAGCCAATTTTCCATTGTTCTCATTGCGTTTTTTTTGGCCATGCGAGTAAAGTTTTACTAAAGATAATGCAAAGACAGATGCGACTGTACATTGACAGAGAACTTCCAGAAGTTCAAGCTGGATTCAGAAGAAGATATAAAATGAGGGATATCATTGCTGATGTCAGAAGGATCTTGGCTGAAAGCAGAGAATACCAGAAAGATGTTTGTTGTTGTTGTTGTTGTCATTGTTAAGTGCCGTCGAGTTGATTCCAACCAATAGCGACCCCGTATAGGGTTTCCAAGGAAAGCTGGTGAGCCTGAACCGCCAACTTTGCAGTCTGGTGCATCAACCCACAGTGCCACACCATGCTGTGCTTTATTAACTACCCAAAAGCTTTCAGTTGTGTGGATCATGACAAACTATGGGCAATATTACAAAGTAGGAGTATTCCAGAACACTTAATTGTGCTCAAGAGAAAAATTTACATAGACCAGGAGGCAGTTGTTTAAACAGAACAAGGGAACACTGAATGGTTTAAACTTAGGAAAGGTGTACACCAGGGTTGTATTCTTTTACCATACTTACTCAATCTGTATGCAGAACAAATAATCTGAGAAACTGGACTAAAGAAAAACGTGGTATCAGGATTGGAGAACGACTCATTAATGACCTGTGATAGGCAGATGATGCAACCTTGCTTGCTGAAAGCAAAGAGGACTTAAAATACTTACTGATGAAGATCAGAGACTACAGCCTTCAGTATGGGTTGCGTCTCAATGTAAAAACCAAAATCCTCATTGTGTTAGGTGCCATCAAGTCGGTACCAATTCAGCGACCTTATGCACAGCAGAACAAAACACTGCCCAATCCTGGGCCAACCTCACTACTGTTGCCACGCTTGAGTCCATGGATATTGCCACTTGGCCAATCCATCTCGTTGGGTGTCTTCCTCTTTTTCTCTGACCATCCACCTTATCAAACATGATATCCTTCTCCAGTGACTGGTTCCTCCTGACAATATGTCCAAAGTATGAGGGACGAAGTTTGGCCATCTTGGCCTCCAAGGAGCACTCTAGCTGCACTTCTTCCAAAATGGATTAATTGGTTGTTTTGGCAGCCCATGGCAATTTCAATATTCTCTTCCAGCACCATAACTCAAAAGCATCAATTCTTCTACAGTCTTCCTTATTCACTGCCAGCTTTCACATGCATATGAGGTTATTGAAAATACCATGACTTGGGTCAGGTGCACCTTAGTCCTCAAGCTGACATCTTTGCTCTTCAACACTTCAAAAAGGTCTTGTGCAGCAGATTTGCCTAATGCAAAACATTGTTTGATTTGACTGCTGCTTCCATGAGTGTTGATAGTTGATCCAAGAAGAATGAAGTCCTTGACAACTTCAACCTTTTCTCCATTGATAAGACTGTTGTTGATTGGTCCAGTGGTGAGAATTTTTGTTTTCTTGACATTGAGATGTAATCCATAGCAAAGGCTGTGCTCTTTGATCTTGATCAGTTAATGTTTTAAGTCCTCTTCACTTTTGGCAAGCAAGGTTGTATCATTTGCATATCGCAGGTTGTTAATAAGTTTTCCTCCAATCCTGATGCCACGTTTTTCTTCTTACAACCCAGGGTCTTGGATTATTTGCTCAGCATACAGGTTGAATAGGTATTGTGAAAGAACACAACCTTGTTGCACACCTTTCTTAATTTTAAACCATTCAGTGTTCCATGTTCTGTTCAAACAACTGCCTCTCGGTTCAAGTACAAATTTCTCATGAGCACAATGAAGTGTTTTGGAATACTCGTACTTCGCAATGTTGTTCATAGCTTGTCATGATCCACACAATCGAAAGCCTTTGCATAGTCAATAAAGCTCAGGTAAAGATCTTTCTGATATTCTCTGCTTTCAGCCAAGATCCATTGGCCATCAGCAATGATAGATATCCCTCGTTCCACGGCCTCTTCTGAATCCAGCTTGAACCTCTGAAAGTTCTCTGTCAATGTATGCTTGCAGCCATTTCTGTATTGCCTTTAGCAAAACTTTACTCGCGTGGGATATCAAAGAGATTGTCCAATGATTTCTGCCTTCTTTTGGGTCACCTCTTTTTGGAATGGGCACAAATACGGCTCTCTTCCAATCAGTCGGCCAGATAGCCATCTTCCAAATTTCTTGGCATAGATGAGTGCCTCCTGTACCATCTCACTTTCTTGAAAGATTTCAATTTTCATTCCTTCAATTCCTGGTGCCTTGTTCTTAGCCAGTTCCTTCAGTGCACCTTGGACTTCCTCCTTCATTGTCATTTGCTCTTGATCATATGCTACCTCTTGAAACAGTTGAACATGAACCATTTCCTTTTTGTACAGTGACTGTATTCCTTCCATCTTCTCTTGATGCTTTCTGCATCATCCAATAATTTGCCCAGAGAATCTTTCAATAACCAAAGTCGAGGCTTGAATTTTTTCTTCAGTTCCCCCAGCTTGAGAAATGCTGAGCATGTTTTTCCTTTTTTGTTTTCTGATTCCAGATCTTTGTACATTTTGTTGTAATATTTGGCTTTATCTTCTTCAGCTGATCTTTGAAATTTTCTGTTCAGAAAATTGGACCTCCTCATTTCTTCCATTTGCTTTAGAATCTCTATGCTGGAGACTAAGTTTCAGTGTCTCTTCTGACATCCATTTTGACCTTTTCCTTCTTTCTTGTCTTAATGACTTTTTGTTTTCTTCATGTATGATGTTCTTGATGTCATCCCACAGCTCTCCTGGTCTTCGGTCTTTAGTGTTTAATTTATCAAATCTGTTCTTCAGAACAACATCCATATAATTGGAGAAAAGATTGAAGTTGTCAAAGACTTCACTTTGCTTGGATTAACCATCGACACTTTTGGAAGCAGCAGTCAAGAAATCAAACAACATACTGTGTTAGGTAAATCTGCTGCACAAGACCTGTTTAAAGTGTTGAAGAGCAAAGATGTCAGTTTGAGGAATAAGGTGTGCCTGATCCTAGCCATGGTATTTTCAATAATTTCATATGCATGCGAAAGCTAGACAGTGAATAAGGAAGACCTTAGAAGAATTGATGCTCATTGCATTTTTGAAGCCTCCCTTTTGCCCCCACTTTTTGAAGGTCCCTTTAATTGTGTGCGAGTAACTGACATAGACTCTGGCTGAATCACATTATCCTTACAGTCCTAGGTGGGGCAGGAAGGAATCCAGATTTCTTGGCTGTGATCTAGCCCCATCTGAGTACTGAGCAATTTCAGGTGCTTGTTGGAATTCATCCCTGAGCCAAATGAGGCTCCACTGGTGTTGTAAACTCCATCATGAATGGTGGCTGACATTGTTAAAGCCCCGCCCACTAGGTGTGGTAGTCCCACACTGTCAAAATCACCAAAAGTTTCCCACAGTCTACTGAGCTGTCTAGACCTCCAAAGGTGTGGGGACGTTTCCATCCCAGAGAGTTGAGACAAAGCTCTCCACTAGAACTAGGGTTCCTCTTTTTCATTCACTTGTAATTTACTAATCTCACTTAAGTCTGTTTTTTCCTCAGTGTTTCTCACCCTTCTGTCTCTCTTTTTCTCTGTATCATTTCTGCTGCCAACACGTCCTATCTCTTCTCTTACTTATACACACAAGCAGAGACCATTTTCCTATCACTTTTGCATTTAAAAAAAAAAATTCCAACTTTATAGCAAGGTTTTTAGCCTTGAATTTGGGCTTGACCTTGATCTAGAACGGTTTACAAGGCCTTTAGTCAAGTACATTCCTGCTTAGACTCCTTTTTGTACAGTATCAATAGAACAGTAGCTATTTCCTGACCCACTAGTGACCATACAAAGGACCAGCAAATCCATTTGACAATTTAAGTTCCATTTGTCTTGTTGAGCAAGTATGAGGATGCAGAATTCTTCAGTTTGTTTGTAAACTGCCCAGTCTCCATAGTGTGCATCTAAAGAGGAGGGAGGTGCAGGGCAACTGAAATTACTAAATATCATCATCAAATATGATCATCAAATAGTATTTATAGCAAGTTCTTTTCCGACATAATTTATGAAGAGAAAATGTTGAGGTGGATACAAAGAAGGCAAAATATAAATCATTGGGTTAGTCTCATCTTTATGCTTCTGGTTGCATTCTGTTTTTCTTAACATAATTTTTGGTTTCATTTTAGGAACCCATTTATCCCCAGGTGAATTTCATGAAGAAGTAAAAAAGTTTTTATCTCTGCAAAATCGAGAACAAAGTGATACTATCCTCCTAGACTGCAGAAATTTCTATGAAAGCAAAATAGTAAGTATGAACCAGATGTGAATTCAGTGAAATGTTAGGTCTCCCCCTCCCCCACAGCATGGCTTATTTCCCAGGGGAAGCCATGTGTGCCCCCCTGTGCTGAAGTCAACCTGGATCTCCTCTCCATACTCACAGTTTCAGAGAAAACCCAACCCTCTGAAGTCAGGATCTGGTGAGAAAGTATATTTTTAGCTCCCATTAGCCTACCCTTGACATGTGTAACCTGTTAAGGGTCCTGTAAACTTGGCTTTGGGCAGCCTCTCCAGTCCCCCTAAGGACTCTGTGCAGGTGGTCCACAACTCACCCAACTTTATTTGTAAGTGCCAGAGCTCGATGTTGAAAAGTCAGAATGATGAGAACAGCCACTAGCAAGTGCTTCCTCTCCAAGTTGGTCATTTGACACAGGAGGAAGCTTTGTTCCCGCCCAGTGTGTTTTTCTGATGATTCTCCTACTGCTCCTTTGCTGCAGGGGCGATTCCAGGGCTGCTTAGCCCCAGACATCAGGAAGTTCAGCTACTTCCCTAGCTACGTCGACAAAAACCTAGAGCTTTTCAGAGAGAAGAGGGTGCTGATGTATTGCACTGGGGGCATTCGCTGTGAGCGGGGCTCAGCCTACCTTAAAGCCAAGGTAAGTCTGGGAGGTGAGGCTGACCTCGTCAACAGCTCAAGTGGAACTTTCCATCCCTACCTTCATGCCCTTCCACACCCCAGGCAGCCAGAGAATTGATTTCCTCCTTCTGTGAGTCCAGCAGAGTCCGAGCACGAATTCTGAAGGTCTTAAATCTCAAGATGTGAAAAGCACTTAACAGTCTTAAAGACTCATCCAGTATAAAAAGGAAAGATGAGCTAATGTAACTCTGCCCCTAATCCTTTTGCCTGATCCCAAGAAGAGCAAACTTAGTGATGTTACATATTACACCAGGTGTCCTCCTATATTTAGGGGACATCAAACCTAGTCAGGCTTCCCAGGACCTAGAGAGTGCAGGCCATGCCTGCTGTCATCACCTATCCCCTGAGTAGGGAACATCTGGCCAGTTGCTTTGCTGAGCCCCTTGGTCAGCACTTCTTCAGTGTCTTGAAGGGGCAGAGGTGGGGAAGCCTCCACTTAGGCATTCCTCACCGTGTTCCTCTCCAGTGGAGCTTCCCCTGGTCTCTGCTTGTCTACCCAAAGGTCATTTTGCTGTTTTACATATAGGGAGTGTGCAAGGAGGTATTCCAGCTCAAAGGCGGCATCCACAAGTACCTGGAAGAGTTTCCCGATGGTTATTACAAAGGGAAGTTGTTTGTGTTTGATGAGCGCTATGCCCTTTCGTACAACAATGTCATAGTGTCAGGTAGGTCAGCCCAGAACCCAAACTGATCATCAGACTCTCTGTGTTACCTATCCTAAAGGTAAGGATATCCTAAAGGAACTGCACAGGGAAGCCAGGCCAGTGCTCATTATTTGAGGAGAAATAAGTACAGAGAACCAAAATGTTCCCAACAGAATTGGAGATACAACCATGGGCAAACAAGAGCCCCGGACCAGGAGTCTGGAGGCCTGGGTTGGAATCCTGGCTCTGCTGTTGATTGGGATCTTGGGCAATTCTCATTGTCCCTGCCTGCCTGCTAGGAGCTGTACTAAACAGTCTAAGGAGTCTTAATTTGAGGTCAGTATATAGAAATCAGGAGTTCTCATGGGAAAGTAGTTATATATTTTTAATAAACCCACACTAAAATATTGTATTTCATCTATTATAGATGTAGGCAACGGATCAGTCAGATTAGATGTACTTTGTCATCAGTAGAAATCACAATATTTTTAAATTGCATCACAGTTATTGCATATGTGTCAAGACAGCATTTACACTCATCATGGTCTCAAACAGAAATCTTTATTAAACCCAGCCCTGAATCTTATTATTTAATAGGTTAAAAAGGAAAGCACATATCTTACTAAACCATAAATTTCAAAGAGAGTTTGATATTTCTATATAATTTCTATTTTGATTCTGTATATTTTATTTTATGCACTTAAAACCAGTTTTCTAAAATGTCACCTGTAGGCTTCACAGACAGACCAGTAAATCCATGGTACATACAAGGGTGGGAGCCCCTAGGTGAGATGGTTGTGGACAACATGGTATGAGTGATGGTAGTGCATTCTAAGGTGGGAGCTGAATCTGGGGCCAAGGCCAGATGCAGGAGTGACCACAGGAAGGGATGACCATGGGAAGCCTGTGGTTTCACTTCGGTGTTGAGTCCACAGTGAAGAGTGGTACCAGCTGAGGACAGTCAGTAAGGGAAGGATAGAAGTGATCCTCCAGAGAAGTGGCTGTTGCTCCTTCCCTGTAGTCACAAGCAGTTCACCCCAGTAACTGTAGCAGTTTTCTAGAATTCCGATGATCAGGGAGGGACTGAGTGCGTCACCACTCAGCTGAATTTGTCCTCTCCCCTTCCTTCTTGATGATTTTATTCATTTTAATGGTCTTGTGTTTGTGCCTTTACTGATGCTACTTCAGACCTGTGTTGGAACTAGATGCAATAATAGATTGTAGATAAGTAAGAAGAGTGGATTTGGCAGATTTTATAGAGGAAATGTTGGTAGAACTTGATGGGTTCCTACATTTAAGTGTGAAAAAGGGAGACAAGGCCCAAAGATAGCTCAGATTAGCTAGGTAAGGAGATGTGAACATGATGTCACTTATGGTAACAGGAAGTCAACAGAGACAAACAGACTAAGAAAGGAGGGAATACGAGTTTTCAGAATCAGGAGATCAAGAATTCTAGTGGCCTAGAGAAGAGAGGCAGTGGGGTGGGCCAGCAGAGGTGGACTGTGGATGTGGGATCATGTGTATTCAGGAATGATCTAAAGGAAGATCATTTAACAAGGGGTGTTGATGTCCAACCTGTGTTCTGGATGGAAGAAGGAAAGTGTCAGTGGGTGCTGGAAGCAGAAAGGAAATTCCCCCTCTAAAAATCAAAGTAGGAGGGGCCATTGTTGTTGCTGTTGTCATTAGAAAACAGGAGACTTAGTATGTAGACATTCCTCCCATCCCAATAGGATGTATTAGATTTTAGTAAGCTAAAAGTTACCTTTGGGAAATGGAGGAGTTCCCATGTGTGTGCGTGCGTGCATGCACACACATGCTTTTCACAAGGGCTTTTCTTGTTTTCCCAGCATGTTCATACTGTGGAGTCCAGTGGGACCAGTATAAACTCTGTTCAACTCCTCAGTGCCGCCAACTCGTCTTGGCCTGCCTGGCCTGCCAAGAACAAGGGTTCACAGCCTGTTGTGTCATGTGCCAGGACAAAGGGGACAGGCAGGCGTCAAGCCCCACGCAGAACAGCTTTAAAGAGGAATGTGAGTGCACAGCCCAGCGGCCACGCATACCCAGGGAGCGGCTGCTGCTGAACCCAGAACCACGGCCCCGGTTGGGTGAGGAAGAACAGTTGCTTATGTGAGCAACACTTGCAGCATGTTCCCCAAACCTTCACAAAGCTAGGAAATGATCAAAGGCACAGCTACAAAGAATGGAGAACCTCAGTGCTGACCAATACCACCATGGCCAACTGGGCACCAAATTGGGCACTTCATTTCACAGGGGCATTGGCAAGGGAGTTGGATGCTCTCCAACTATCTGAGATATTCTGAGTCAGAGGATACTATAAGACGGTAAATGGGAGTGTAATTACTGAGGGACCGCTAGGTGACTCTGCCCTGTCCCTGTCATGCTCTTGTCATCAAACCTGTCTTATCTTGGCGGCAGAAATGTGAAAGCCGTGGCCCTGGGAGTGGACTCTTCTGAATCAGGCCACTAAGGTCATCTGCCACCCACATCTACCTCCATCTTTTCTCTGATAGCCTGAAAACACCTAGATCAGAGGTCTAGGCTATGGCATTTGGCCTACTTCCTATTTGTGTAAATAAAGTTTTATTAGAACATAGTCACATCAGTTTCATTCCTTTACATTTGATCTGTGGCTGCTTTTATCTAAGAGTGGCAGAACTGAGTAGTTGTAGCAGAGATTGGCTCACAGTATCTACAACACTCTGTCCCTTTACAGAAAGTTTTCCAACCTCTGATCTAGATCAACCAGATCACCTTAAAGATGAGCTCTCCCATTTCACTGTTAGCTTTTAGTTGATTTCTTTGATAGATTCAAATAAGGCTCGATGACGCTGATGTTTGGGCAGCATGATGAGATCAGCATGTGGGATTAAGAAGACTCTTAGTGAGGTCATTCAGCACTGCCGTGGTGGTTTCCCAGCCTTCTGGCCAGCATGCCAGGCACAGTTACTTGCAGAGCATATCACTGCCCCACAAGTCCCAAGAAACATGGACGTACGCAGCTGTGCACAGACCACAGATTTAGTACTATGTTACAGTTTCAGTGTTGCAGCACAGCTGCGATTGTGTTTCAGGGAGAAGCTGAGTGGGGATGGCGGTCCCTGAAGCACGGTACCACTCCGGGGCCCATTGGCAGCCTCCATCAAACCTCTTCCACAGTGGGAAGGCCTGGCTGCTCCCTCTAGTACCTGGATTGTCTCCCTGCTGTTAGAGTTCACTGCACAGGACTGTCCCTGTCTCATCAAAAGCACCCTTGCTCAGTGCTCTGCAACCCCATCTGCTTCATCAGCTCTTTGACCGTGTCCTTTATCACAAGGTTTCTTGAATCCCACATTGAAATAACTTTCCAAAGCAACAAAAGTACAAGTTCAGCTGGCACTGTGGTATATTAAAAGGCACAAGGGCATTATGGCTTAACATTTTTGCTGGATCCAAAAAGATGCACATGATATTAAAAAGGGATACAGCAGAAATAGCAAATTGCATTGTCAGAATCAGCATCTTTGGATGGTTTGACCCGGATTTCCTAATCTCGAATAATCTGAATTGCTTTCACCATTTTCCCTCAGAGGCTTAATTTACAGGCATGAGATCACTGACAGCTTGTTTAATCATATGTGATGAGACAGGTACTTCGTTCTAAGCTTGGCCATGCTAATACCATAGCCACAATGAACTAGAGGTTTATACTTCTAATATTTGATGTCTCACCTAAGCTGTATTCCAATTTCTCCTTTTTGCCCACTGTGCAATACAGAAAAGTATTTTCAAGTATTTGGCTATAAATTTTCATATCTGTTATAAAATTAGCATTTGATAGGGAAAAAAATCTTCTGACCGCAGTATGAAATTATAACTAAATGTCAGATGTTCATGCAGAACACTGAGGGAAATGGTGTTTGCCTGGGATTGGTAAGGAAAGATAGTTCTTGAAGCGTGAAGTCTCACCACTGGCTTTTTCCTATCATTTCCTCACAGCCAGTAAGGGAATTTCTTGTTCTTTGATTCCAGACAGGGCTCTGTGGCTTCAGTCTTTTCCTTTTCTCTAGAGGGAAAAAAATTGTGTTCTCGATCCTGAATTACGGGTTTTTCTTAAAATTAATGGATATTTCGATTTTCTAATGAGTAGCTAGGACCAAGTTTGCAATAAGGTACTTTATAAACCCCAGGGCCCTGTGGAAGAGTGTGCTGTTTCTCTGTGTGTCACACACCTGAAACATACAGCAAGGTGCCAACGCCGGGCTCACTGTTGTAACTCTGTCTCCAGTAATCTGCCAGTGTGAGGGCTTCTTCGTTATTAAATAATAACTAGACTGAACTTCTATGACTAAAGAAAAAATTCACATTAACCTTATTTTATAAAAATTTCAACTACAACCACTAGTTAACTTAAAACCTTAGTGCATAAAGAACTAAACCACAAAAGGATTTTGTGCCGGCATCTTGCCTTCTGGTTTTCCCGGCAGAGCACAGATTGTCGGGAGAGCATGTCCAGTTCAAAGGCATGGTCTTCACTTCCACGCACTAGACACCACTCCGGCACTTGGGAATGATGGGCCCAGTCAAGTCAGCTAGCCGCCTCTTCCTCACTGAAAGGAATGGAAAAAAAGCATAAGCAAGCCGGCCATCTGGACTAGGAGTCCAGCTGTTACACTGAGAAAACCAAGTCAAGCCTTTCTCTAACTTTTTTCTTTAAAGTCATGTCTGTTGCTTTTAAAGAAAGTTATGTGTGAGTTACAGTCCTGGTGTGGCGCTGTGGGTTAATGTGCTGGACTTCAAGGTTGGATTGAACCACAAGGTTGGTGGTTCAAGCTCAACAGCTGCTCCTTGGAAGTCCTATCCAGGGTAGCTATGGGTCGGAACTGACTCAACGGCACTTCACAACAACAAGTGTGAGTTGGGTAACAGCTCAGCGGTTTTCAGGGCTCACTGAGTCTGACAGTGTAGGCTCAGCCATATATCCCTTCTCAGTGGTGGACCACACAAGTGTAGAGCCCCCCACTGTTTCTCCTTTGCCTACAGATACCCACAGTTGGAGATCTTTACTCTGGTTTAGATTAAGAGTTCAACTTGGGCTACTTAACAAGACCAGGGCCTTCATCTCATCATGGGAGCGGTTCCCACAGCTCTTTCCTGGAAGTCCCTGCCCTTGTTAACAACCCTGAAGATTCCCCTGCAGTATCCATCCCATATGTTTAGCCTTGACATTTTCCCCAGGGCAAGACAACAGAAGCTCAAACACTATTCATATAAAGTGGTTAAATGCTGCGAAGAGAAAAGCACTAGCCAGGAAGTTGCAGGCTGGAGACATTAGCTTAGAGAATGATGGGTTGGGTGGGGGTGGGAGGGCATCCCTTTGCTGTAACAAGGGAAAGTTTGGAGATGAATTACAGTGTCTACAGATGGAGACCAAGCAGAAAGCTAAATCAGCCACAAGAGAAAGATCAAAGAAGTCTGTAGAGCCGGTAGGTGACAGTCAAGAGGCCTGCTGGTGTGGCAGAGACAGGAAGCTGTTGCTGAAAGGAAAAAGTTTGTCTATACTTAGATGTCTTCCAGCTCCCGAGTTGAGGTGGTAGACCTGCAGCCACCAGACCGCAACAGGCTGCAACAGAGCTGCAATAAGAACTGAATCAGCTTGTGCAGAACACTGAGCATATAAGGCTGAACCCCCCGGGGATGCAGTGTTGTGGCCTGGAGAGGGGCTGGGGTCCACACGTGGCTCCGTTGGGACCTAGAGCTCAGGTACTCCTCACCGTGAAAAGAGTAATGAATGCAAGTCAGGGCCAAGGTCTCCTGTCCATCCTAATGCCAGGAGACTGGCAGAACGTCTGAAGCATCCCTGGTGGTACCATGGTTAAGCACCACCAGGGACGCCACAGAAAAGACCTGGGGAATCTACTCTTCAAGACCGTAGCCTGGAAAACCCTATGGGGCAATTGTACTCAGGCACACTGGGTTACTAGAAATAGAAAGTTGACTACCTAACAACATCAGAACGTCTGACTGCTTGGGGTAAGTGTGGGAGAATAAAAACCAAAACCCACAGAATAAAAGGAGCTTGACCAAAGAGACCAGAGAGTTACATAAGCTAGACTCCTGAGCATGTGCATGCCAGCAGTGCGCAGGTGCCTGGCAGTGCCAGCCTCTGATACCTCTTTGCATACACTATCCCAGTTGATCCCTCCAGTAATTCTGGATTGTCAGTATTGCTACCAGTCCCATTTTAAGGATAAGGAAAGTAAGGCAAACAGGTTAAATGTCTTGTTCAAAACAATAATTGCAGTGCCAGAGGGAAGCAAAGCTTGTGGTTCACTTTTAAGCTTCAGTCCAAGCTTCCCACTAGGTCCTGCTGCCTCCCCATACACGATCCCGTCTCCTTTGTAGGGTTGGCACGGTCACTTCTCATCTGATTCTCACAGGGAAGGTTAGCTCCTTGTCCCTGGAGAAGACACCCATGGTTCCTGAGGACTAGCAGCAAAGCCAGGGCTGGAACCTAAGTACCCAGCCCATGGTTCAGAGAACAGAATGAGACCCCATGTTTCTTCTTCCCCTCCAGGTCCTCATTGTGTACTGGGCTGGATCGGCGCAGGGTCCCCAGCACTGGCTCCAACAGGGACTGGATGAGGAGAAGGGAAGGGCACTCCATATGTGCTGTGGAGTCGGTTCTGACTCATAGTGAACCTGTATAAGGTTTCCAAGGCTGTAAATCTTTATAGGAGTAGAAAGCCTCATCTTTCTTCCTCAGAACTGTTGGCATTCTTGTACTAAGGTATATTTCTCCATTTTACTGATGAAGAAACAGGCCAGGAGAGGGAGAGTAATTTGGCCCCGTCACAGTGACTAAGTGGCAGAACTGTAACTAGAACCCACACTCCCAACATCTTCCTTCAATTCAGTCTCTTTCTTACTTTCTTTAAAGTCAACTTCTCGTTGCTTATCATTGTAACAGCCTAGTTTACTGTCAGAGTCCAAAGGAATCTCCAGTCATCTCCGTCCAGTGCTGAAACCCCCTCTACTATTTCCTGCCAAGCATGAACACCATCCTGTCTTCAGGAAGCATTTTACATTCATTTATATGCTCAACAGTATTTATTTAGGCTATTGCATGTATTAGGAATCCTGATGTGGCGCTGTGGGATCAGCACTGGACTGCGAAACCTCAAGGTCGGTGGTTCAAACCCACCAGTCACACCTTAGAAACCCTATACAGGGCCGCTATGAGTCAGAACCAACTCAGTGTCACTTAACAACAACACTGCATGTATTGAGGAGCCAGCATAGTGGTTATGAATCAGGCTGCTAACCTCAGGGTTAGCAGTTTGAAGCTATAGATTTACAGCCTCAGAAACCTTGTACAGGGTCGCTGTGAGTTGGAACTGACTCCACAGGATATCACCACCACTAGCATAGTGGGTTACAGGCTGGACTGCTAACCTTAAGGTCAGTAGTTTGAATCTACCAGTTGTTCCGGAGGAAAGATGAGGCTTTTTCCCCTCACAAAGATTTACAGCCTCAGAAATTCTATACAAGGTTTCTATGAGTCAGAACTGACTCATTGGCGTACAACCTCCACTACAAGTCCATGTACGACATTGCACAAATTTGCGCACAAGACATCTTTAAGTGTTCAACAGCAAAGATGTCACTTTGAGAACTAAGGTGCACGTGAAAGATGGAAGTAAGGAAGACTGGGCAAGATTGTGGTATTGGCGAAGAATGTTCAAAGTCCCATGGACCGACTGCCAGAAGAACAAACTATTCTGTCTTGGAAAAAGTACAGCCAGCATGCTCCTTAGAAGAGCAGATGGCCAGACTTTCTCTCTCACACTTCGGAGCTGGAGGGATCAGTCCCTGGAAATGGACATCATGCTAGGTGATGAATAGGAAGGACATCGTCGACCCAGTGACTGCAATAATGGGCAGAAACACAGTAACACTGCAGATGACATGGGATCACGCAGCGTTTCATTCTGTTTGCATGGGGTCACTATGCATCAGAGCAGATGCGACGGACCCAACAACTGGTGCAAACGGTGCATGCCCTCAGTTGCTAACCTAAAGGTTGGAGGTTTGAATCTATCCTGAGGTACCTCAGAAGAATGACCTCGCCACCTACTTCCTGAAAATCAGTCACTGAAAACCTTATGGGGCACATCTCTACTCTGATGCTCATGGGGTTGCCATGAGTCAGTGGGCTCAATGACAACCTTTTATTACTATTACATGCTAACCACAGATGTCATGGAAAAGAGGTGACATTTTTCTGCTCCCACAAAGATTTATAGCCTCAGAAACCCTATACAGGGTTGCTATGAGTCAGAACCAACTTCACGGCACTTAACAAGAAGCACAGAAATTAGAAATAAAAAACATAGCATAGCAGAAGGCCAAGTGTACAAGCAATAAGCTTGACAAAACAGCACAAGTACCTTTGTTGTTGTTGTCAGGTGCCATCGAGTCGGTACCGACTCATAGCAACCTTATGCATAGCAGAATGAAACACTGTCTGATCCTGGGCCAGCCTCACAATTGTTGCCATGCTTGAGCCCATTGATGCTACCACTTTGCCAATCCATCTCGCTGGAGGTCTTCCTCTTTATCTCTGACCCTCCACCTTACCAAACATGATATCCTTCTCTAGTGACTAGTCCCTCCTGACAATATGTCCAAAGTATGAGAGACGAAGTTTGGCCATCCTGGCCTCCAAGGAGCACTCTGGCTGCACTTCTTCCAACACAGGTCTGTTGGTTCTTCTGGCAGCCCATGGCACTTTCAATATT